AGAAATCATTCCTCTTTTATAATAAGGATGGTCTACATCAAATAAACCTTCTACAGAATTGTAATACAACAGATTGTGGTTTCCATGGGAAAGTATTTTCCCAACTTGTCTTCATTTACAGCACCTCTCCCTATCAACTCTTACAACTTCTCAGTCAGCGACACACTGTACACGTAGCCATTTCTCTTTAATTGTTTCCGAATACCTTACTTCATTTCCTCTCCGTTGCTGATGCAAAGGCCAGCGTGACAGATTTATAATTTCCCCTTGAGCTTTTCCCTCCCGGCTCCATCCTCTGCTTTTGACCAAGCGTCTTGAGGACACATGTTGAACAGCCCCGAACCCCTTGTGACTGCGAGGTCTCGCCGTCCTCTCACTGATAATGGAGAGCATCTGCCCCCTTCTTCCCTAACTCAAAACTCCTGTAGTCAAAACGGTATTTGTTCCCCCTGCCTGGGTTAAGATACAAGAGTTTTGGTCTTAGCCATAGGGCTGTAATGGTAATAAAAACCAGATCCAGCTCATAAAGACTTATGCTGTTATTCCTGTGAAATAAATAACAATGACATATAATTCAATATTCTTTGGTGCTTCTAGGTTGATTCTGTCCCTTGAGAAAACATATTTTCTTTGTCATCATCACAACTTATAATGCACCTCAGTAGTCTCACAGGCCTTGTCCTGGATACCCCCCCTGAGCTGCAGCCCTGAATGAAACAGTAATTCAGTTACTGAGATGGTGGGTCCTGAGCTCTTGTGGGAATGTAAAACATGGCTGGCTGTGGAGATGTCAAATCAAAGAAGGACTCCAGAGGAGAGTTTGAACGAACAGTGCAGAAACAAAATGAAAGAAACTGGAATTCCTGGCACTAGAGTACAATAATTCTTCCCCGTTCCTTGAATTCTTAGCCTCTGTCTGGTTAGAATTCTGAAACAGAGGATTGTTTTTCAGAGGGTAAGATGTTTCACCGGCTCAAAGAACAAAGGAGGTGTTCTTTTTCACTTTGGAATTCCCACTTTATTTTATTTTTGGAGTTAATGGTTTTTTATTCCATTTTCCAAATATAGCAGATTAAAAAAAAAAGTTAAAAGTGAGAGCTCAGGCATTAAAAAAAGAAGTAAGGAAGGTAATGAAGTACCTTTTTTAAGATAAGAATGGGAATCGGACCATCCTGCCGTGGTTTTGCTCTGGTGAAATGTAATCTACAGTAGCCGTGTTGGTCTCCTCGAGACTGATTTCTGCACAACATTAAAATATTGGTGTTTCTCCATGGAGTTAGGTCTTCCAGCAAATGTCATGCCTGAAGGTGGTAATTTGGACATTGAGAGGGTACTTATCTCCCCCCAGTTTGAAGAGAAACATGAGAGCAGACCTCATGTACTGTATGTCCAAAACATTTAACATTTGACGTCCTGGTGCCTACAGGAGAGTTTCCATTGATCAGCAGAGCTGTGTGGTTGGGGGTTCTTGCACATTTTGAGTTAATGCTGCGTGGTATGCAGAGAATACAGTAACGCTCAATCTCGATCCAGGCTGGGTAGACCATCACTGTTTGGTTAGACCCAGTCACTGGTCATCAGTGACGTACTGTACTGTAGGTGAAACTGGTGATGGGGCTGTAGCCCTCAACCCACTCTTCACTGTTTCTGACCACTCTGGACAACACATGCTGAATAGCTATCATTTCATCCGGGTTTCCTCCAGATGAAAGTGGATTTAAACTGTGATCATCCTGAATGAAAATCAGATGTCTTTTTTCTTCTTTTGAAGCATGCGAATTTTATTTTCACATCTGCCACTCTGCATTGCATCACAGAGTTTGTGTGCATGTTACTGGTTACCATAGCAGCATAAATCTCTTCTGCGGTTAGTATTTTCACATGTTTTCAGGAAACCAGGGTAGCCATCTCCAACGCAAAACATACACTTTCTCACTGGGAAGACCACATCAGAGATCTGCATGGCAGCTCAGTAATCTCCCTGTTAAAACACCATCTGACTCCAGCCAGTTTTAAATAAGCACTCGCCGACTGCATCAGTGACTCAGCAGGAAAAGCTGTGTCTGTTATTTTTTTTCTGACCTGCGAGAGCGCGCTTAGAACAATACCAGATTAAAAGGTTAGAAATGAACTGTGTCAAGAATCCCCTTAAAGGAAGCCTAAAAATTAGGGTTTACCTGCCGGGTTTTGGGAGGCAGTAGGCCTGCCTAGATGATAGCTAGAGATCAGTTATAGAGCGATGAGGAAATGGACATTGAGAGTGGCAATCGATGAGGAAGTAATGAGCCAAAATTAAACTTCAGAGGAAGGTGCCTGTGTGTGTGGACGGGTATCTTAAAAATGCACTGGTCTTCATCCAGCAACTGGCTGTATTTCCTGCCTCTGATTCAGGGCTGTGCTATTCTTATTCTGCCCCACCTCCAACATCTGTGAATCGCTGTTCCTGCTCTGGCCGGACAAAGCCGTTTCCGATGGCAACGGAACCCTTTTGGAGCCCCGAGCGCCCCCTGCCCCGGACTGTGAGCGCAGGCACGTAGGTTGCAGGCTCTGCAGAGGTGGGGCCGCGGCCACTGGGAGGCTGTCTTCTTCAGGGACAAGGAGAGGAAGCAGACCAGAAAGAAGGGGGGGGTTTCTTGTTGTTTTTGTGCTGAACTTGACCGGGAATAAATCTTCTCCAGGCGA